GTGCTTTGTTTGAAAAATGTTCGTCATGTTCCTGACTTATGCCATAACTTGATCTCTTGTGCTGCTCTTGAGGATGACCGGTTAGAGGGTAAATGGGGTAAAGGGGTTATGAAAATTCTGAAAGGTTCATTGGTTATTTTCAAAGCTGAAAAAAGGAAAAACTTGTATGTTTGCACTGCTACTTGTGAATCACATGCTGAAATTTCTGTGAATGTTGTTCATGTTGACCAAACTGATCTTTGGCATAGACGTTTAGGTCATATGAGTAGTCGTGGTCTTGAAATTTTGCATAAAGCGGGCTGTTTTTTTAGTAAAGATAAAATATCTTGTATGCCGTTTTGTGATTCTTGTGTACTTGGCAAGCAACAACGTGTTAAATTTCTTGTTTCACCTTCCCCTAAATCCTCTATGTGTTCGGATATTCTTGAATATTTGCATGCCGATGTTTGGGGTCCCGCTAGTGTTCCGACACATGGTGGGAGTAGGTTTTTCCTGTCTGTGATAGATAATTTTTTCAAGAAAAGTCTTTGTGTTTCTTTTGAAAAATAAATCTGATGTTTTCGAAATGTTTAAGACTTGAAAAACCTTGATTGAAAACCAGACCGGTAAGAAGATTAAAATTATTAGGACTGATAATGGGCTTGAATTTTGCAATAATTTGTTTGATGAATTATGTGCTCAATCTGGTATTCAAAGGCATAAAACCGTGCCTTACACCCCTCAACAAAACGGTGTTGCCGAGCGAATGAATAGAACTTTACTTGAAAGGGTGAGGTGTATGTTGTCTAGTTCGTGTCTTTCAAAAAAGTTTTGGGGTGAGGTTGTTTTAACTGCTACTTATTTGATAAATAGGTCTCCTTCCGTGCCTTTGAATGGTAAATGTCCTGAGTTTGTTTGGTTTGGAAAGGAAATTGAATTTTCAAACTTGCGTGTTTTCGGTTGTGCTGCATTTTGTCATTCGAAACTTGATAAACTTGAACCTCGGTCAATGAAATGTGTTTTCTTGGGATATCCTGAAGGTGTTAAAGGTTATAGATTGTGGCTTAGAAGCGTACCCGGCTTTAAGGTCGTAATAAGTCGTGATGTTGTGTTCAATGAATCTGAAATGCCATGTTTAATTGCTTCTTTGCCTGCTTCTTTACCTGATGAATCTGAAAATGCTCCAAATGCGGTGGAGCAATTGAGTGGTTTAAGTGATTTCGATAATTTTGAAAATATGCATGCTGAAACTGAAACCGAACGTGCTGTGTTTGATAATCGACATGCTGAAATTGCTGAAAATAAACATGTAACTGCTGAAACTGAAAATCAGCGTGCTGAAAATGGTGAAAATGTCGATGTGCATGATGAATATGTGGAAAATCTGCCTGAAAATGATGTTGATTTGCATGATTATCAACTTGCTAGAGATAGGACTAGAAGGGAGCGTAAGAAACCTTCTAAGTTTGATGATTTTCACATGACTTCATATGCTTTTGGTATTTTCGAATCCATTGATAATTGTGAGCCTAAATGTTATGAGGAAGCTCTTAAATCTGTGAATTCTTTGCAATGGATGAATGCTATGCGTGAAGAAATTAATTCGTTGCATGTGAATCATACTTGGTCGCTTGTGCCTAAACCTGATAATTGTTCCTTAGTGGATTGCAAATGGTTGTATAAGGTTAAACAAGAGAATGATTCGGTTAGGTTTAAGGCTAGACTCGTAGCAAAAGGTTTCACTCAACGTGAGGGTATTGATTATACCGAAATATTTTCTCCTGTTGTTAAATTCACCACCGTGCGTATCATGCTTGCTTTAGTTGCTCACTTTGATTGGGAATTAAAGCAAATGGATGTTAAAACCGCCTTCTTGCATGGTAAATTAGATGAGAAAATATATATGAAACAACCTGTCGGTTTTGTGGATGCTAAGAAATCTGATTATGTGTGTTTGTTGAAGAAATCCTTGTATGGTTTGAAACAATCTCCTAGGTAATGGAACAAGAAAATTGATATGTTCATGCTTTCTTTAAAGTTTAAGAGAAGTTCTTATGATTATTGTGTGTACTTTAAAGAAAATGCGAATGTTCCTGTTTTTCTGCTCATATATGTTGATGATATGTTGTTGGTCGGTCCTTGCATTAAGTCTATTGAGCATGTTCAAAAATGTCTAAGTGATAAATTTGATATGAAAAATCTTGGAGATGCTAAAAGGATTCTTGGAATGAACATTATTCGTGATAGGAAAAATTCTGTGCTTTTTCTTAATCAAATTTCTTATGTGGAGAAGATTTTGAGTAAATTTTCTATGTCGTCCGCAAAGTCCGTGAACATTCCCCTTGCTGCCCACTTTGTGCTAAGTAAGGATCAGTCTCCTAAGACCGATTCTGAAATTGATTTGATGAAAAATGTGCCTTATTCAAATGCAATTGGTTCTGTGATGTATCTCATGGTTAGTACTAGGCCGGATATTGCATATGTTGTTAGTTGTTTGAGTAGGTACATGTCTAATCCAGGTATGCCTCATTGGGAAGCTCTTAAGTGGTTGTTACGTTACTTGAATGGTTCTATGCATGTCGGTCTAAAATTTTTTAAGTGTTCTGAAGGTGTTAAACTTGTTGGCTATGTTGATTCGAATTATGCTAATGATAGAGATAATAGGAAATCAACAACATCATATGTGTTTACTTTGTGTGGCTCTTGTATGAGTTGGAAATCACAACTTCAGCATATTGTTGCCTTGTCTACGACCGAATCTGAATATGTGGTTGTAACTGAGGCCTTGAAAGAGGCTGTTTGGTTGAAGGGTCTTTTATGTGAAATCGGTTTGCTTGAAAAAGATGTGGTTGTGTTTTCTGATAGCCAATCGGGGATTCAATTGTGTAAAAATCCTTTTTTCATGATCGCACTAAGCATATAGACGTTAGGTTCCATTTCATTCGTGATATTGTGTCTAAAGGCTTAGTTAATCTTGAAAAAATTGCATCCGAGTTTAACCCCGCAAATATGGGAACTAAGTTCTTACCTATTGAAAAATTCAGATCGTGCATGAGAACTTAGAACTTCGATTCTTGTGATTGATGTGCTGTAATTTATGTGTGTTCGTAGGTAGTGTACTATGTGTTTGCTGCCTGTTTTGATACTTGTTCTAACTTCGTGAAAGTGCAGGTGTCGTTGTTAGGCAATGATGAAAGTGCTTCGGCCCCTCAAGGTGTCCGGTATTCGGTGGTGGGCCAAATTCGGTGGAGAAATGTTGGGATATTTGGCCCAAAACCACTTACCTTATCTCAGGCCCAAGGAAACCCCGGCCCAATCCCGACTGGGCCTGGCCCTCTTACACACAAGTGGCAGGAATTAATTTGGACCCTTAGATTTAGGGGATTAATCCCAGCCTCTATCTCTAGCCTTAAATACCTCTCACACTCTAACCCTAAATTAGAACCTTCACTCTCCTCTCTCGTTCACTGCTGCGCTCGTTTTCTCTCTCACTGTGCGACTGAATCTATCTCTTTCTCTCTGTGGGAAAAACCGATCGATACCTTCCTCTCTAAATCCGTTCTCCGTGACCCTTTTAGAGTGTGTGAGAGCCGACATTCACTTGTGTGTCCTCACTGTGCCACCGCGCCGTCGCCCAGCTCAACCCGTCGGCTAAAGCCCTTGCGTGGGGCTTCCGGCGATTCTCAGCGTGAAAGGAGGGGTTAGGCGACAGAGTGGTCGGGTGCGTGGTCGTGTGTAAGAGGAGCAGCCCGGGGATTGGGCCGAGTAACCAGGGCTGCCGTCCGTTGGTCACCACCGAGCCGCTACTTACCGAGGGTGTCGGGTTCAAGGATAATCTGAGCCGGGAGACTTTGTGTCGTCATTATCCGGCCAGATTTCGGTCAAAGGGGGTTTTCTTTCATTTCTCCTTTTATTTCTTATTCCTAGCATATTTACTTGATTTGTTCTTGTTAAAGCCACTGAAATTAATTCCTGTAATATCCATTGCTTTGTGCATTTGCATTCAGGTTGATTCGGGGCTGAAAATGAGCTAAACGGCAGTTAAACAGCAAGCTGGAATCAGCCCGGGACCAAAAGAGAGCAGACTCAGAGTCCTGTAGATGAGCAGCAAGCCCGGGACTAAGTGAGGACGAGCATTGTGGTCAGACGAGTAAAAGAAGACGAGCTTCCGCTGCGTACGAGTCAAGCGGTGGGAACGGGACGACCACTTAACACGTTCAATGAGTGTTTAGTTAAATAAGTATTTGGTAAATAACATGTGTTTATAATTGTTACGATGTATTAACTTTTTAGTTTAGGTATCTCTTCTCTAACCATTACAGTTTTGACGTTTGAGTTATTTTATTCACTATTCACGTTCTGAAAACAAAAAGCTAATCAAATAAGTTCGTTACTAAACAAATTAATTAGCATATTTGATTGGTCAAATCTCTATATAACGTCAAATTCAAGAATTTAACATCAATTTACCAAATGAGTCGCGCATTTGCACATTATTTCATTTTATTCGTGAAACACATACAAAAAGATTATGTTATACAAAAACTCCATGGAGTCATCGGATAGTTTTCTTATGGAGTCATCAACCACTTAATATACCAACATTTTCCAAATTGTATTTATTGCAGGACACGAGTCAATACACTATTGGCGAATAAATGTGGATAGCTCCATAAGTCAGTCATCCGATGACTCCATATAATTCGTTTATAACAAAAATTGTAAAAAGTCATCGGATGGTAAAAGTGTTAATACTTAATAGCACTTCTCAAGGTTTTAGTCACTAAGGTATGAGAAACACATAAATTGAATTATGGTTCTGAGTTAGACCACATGATGGTATTAATAGGACCATAATGCAAATCACCGAGGCTACACAACACTGATCGCAATTTCACTTCCTCTATTATTAACTATTTTTACCAACACATTTGATCAACCTCCAACTTTTCCCCAACAGCCACAATATCTTTAACCTTCTTGCTTTTGCACACTTTGGTAAGACCAACACTCTCATCAACTCAAGTTCCATCTTCCGGTTTGATCAGACTCTCGCCAGATTTTACACACTTTTTCCTCAATCCACACACAGTAATAAAATCGTCCAAGAACTTAATTTTTCTCTTTCTTGAACTTCTACGGACTATAGAAATACCTTCATTTTCCCCACACTTATCTCTTTCTTCCACAGCCTGTGAACCAGTAACAGCATTCGCATTCTCAATACCAGTCGAATTAGTGACTACATTTGAATTGTCCCGAGCAATGGTCAAATCGGGATTGACTTTCACACTATGTGTAGATTGATAGGGACACTCTCGATTGAGAATGTTCTTTTCCAATGTTTCTGCATTTTCAATTTGTCTTGAAATATGCAGATTTTTGTTCTTGGTCTCGTCAAGTTGCTCGTGCACACAGTTAAGTTCAGCCCTGAGGTCTATTATGATGCCTTCTGCTTCATTTAGCTGAGATTCCAGCTCATGAATTTTATTCCTTTGGTTCAGTGATGTAATCTCCACTTCCTTAGTCTGTAGCCAGGGAAAAAAAATAGTACAATAGATGATAACTCACAGTTAATCGACAGTTTCTTATTTTCGAAATCAAATAAAGTAACACGTCAATGTGCAAGCCCCTTCTAATCAGGTTCAAATTGCATTTTCTGCTCCAAATTACATAACAATCTTTTTTCCATTGTTATTATCACAATCTCACAGGCATATACAGATACAGTTACTACGCATAAAGCGTAATAGTCATCGTGTCATCAAAATCACCACATAGCCAGGGCCCAAGACTCTAACTAAACTAGCAACTCACAATCTTCAAATAAGGGCAACTAAGTAAGATTATTGAAGACACCACAAGCTGCTAGAGCTCAAAAAGCCATGTATTTCACATATTTCGAATCTAACAGAATCGATCATATCATTTGATTTTTGAATCACACCAATTTAGTTTCTTTTCATTGCAAGAACAAGCTAATTAGGTTCAAACTGCAACAGTCGAATGTCGATAATCTAGAGACCGAAGCATAGGCATACATATAGCTACTGTTTGTCAAAAAATGGTGCAAATATTATAAAAGCCCAACCTCTACCCAAGAGCACAAACAATGAACGAAAGTGAATACAAGCAAGCTAGCAACCCAAGATCAAAATGGCAGAGATCAGATTGCAAATCTCAGATCGAATTCGAACTCAAGAAATCAAAACACTCTCACCACAGTATGTCGACCCGCAAAATTATTACCTATGAAATATATTAACTTGCCCCATTGATTTTTCGCATTTTCAATCGAAGACAGAAAAGAGCTTCTTTTTTTTCACAAATCAGTTACCTTACCTTTGTGTCGATCGATTGCTTCAAATTAAGCAGCATTCGAGCGGCCTCGTCTTTTGTGGAAACCAAGTCGTGCTCCAATCGCCGGGATCTCAGCTCGGCGGCCATCACACGCGCCGCCGCCTCCTTCGCCGTGTTGAGAATCATTTCCGCGTACGCTCTCTTGATCGCCTCCATTTTCTGCACCAGGCAGCTGAATCAAACACGCGATAAGCTTAGACCTGTGGCTAAGTTTTTACATATGGCGCCTTACCTCCGGCTCCGACATGGTTTTCCGGTTTCCGATCTACGCCGGCGAGGTGCTCGTTGACGATAAGGCCCCTGTGCTCTGAACTAATTACAGTTATTGAACGATGGAGGGGATATACTAAAGTAACTAAACGGCGTCGTATGGCGGGAGAATGTGCTGCTGAATTGTGGTTTGGCGGGTTCTGTTTCGACCTATAAGCGCCAACAACAACGTGGGCCATTAATGATTACAGCCCAGTTCCGAACAAAATGAATGGGCTTTTTGGCCTGATAACTTTTTATATGCCATGCAACAGCCACTATTTGAAATAAAGACACCCCTTTCCCCAATAAAATAAATTATTCTTCATTTGCAGCACCATCTCATTATTCCACTTTTGGGCCTTTAGGTCACCTTAAGATTTTCATTTGCAGCACCATCTCATTACTACCCAAGTGGATCGCAAACATAAATATGGGAAATGCTCCCGTTCGGTTACAAAACAATTCCGTCGAATCTTGTAATCGTAATGTAGAGCGTATGTATGATTAAGAAGAACACGAATAATTCTCAAGAGAAATCTCAAATATCAATAATCAAGTCTGTCTTCTAAAAGGGAGAAGACGATCCTTTAATACATTAGAAAATCCCTAATCTTAAAAGTTCAGTAAATAACCAAAAAGGCCCAACACTAATAATAATAATAAAAAGAGCCCAATAATAAATAAAGACTACTAAAGAGAAATGAACCAAACTAAATACAAAGACGATCATATTTATTTAAAAACGCTATCGCGGTCTCGTCTTCATCATCCTCCCCCGGTTGGGAAGGATTCGGCTGCGAATCCGAGCCGGTCTCGTCTCCGTCTGAATTATCACCAACGAACGGGACGAGATGCTTGACATTAAAGACGTCAGAAGTACGAATATGAGATGGTAGGCGTAGACGGTAGGCGTTGGGGGGCGACTACCTCAACCGGGCCAATCGAATCCCACGAAAAAGAAACCCATCCACCAACGAATAGTCCTCGTAGGGCCCGTCACGTAAGCGACCCAAAATGGGGCCAAAGAACGGGTCCGCCGCGTACACATCCCGTAGCACCTCAAAACCCACCAGCGACACACGCATCTCGGACAAAAGAAGGGAATGTCTACTCAAAGCATCGGCGACCCTGTTAGAGGCACCTGGCCGATGGCGGAGAACAAAGGTGAACTGCTGTAAAAAGGCAGTCAAAGAAGCATGCCGTGAAGAAAAATTATCCTGTGAGGCCAAGTGTCGCAGCGCCTCATGGTCGGTGTACAACACAAACTCCCTGTGAAACAAATAATGGCGCCAATGGCGCACAGCACGAACTACAACATAAAACTCAACATCATAAGTACTATACCTCAATCTCAGGCCCGAGAGCTTCTCACTGAAGAAGGAGACCGGGCGGCCATCTTGGCTAAGGACAGCACCAATCCCCACTTTCGAGGCATCGCAAGAAAGCTCAAAAGGACGAGAAAAATCCGGTAAGACAAGCACCGGAGCCGAAGTCAGCTTGTCCTTGATGCGACTGAAGGCTGTAGCAGCCTCATCGGTCTACGTGAACACCTTCCCGGTGAGGCAGTCCGTGATCGGGGCCATGATCGAACTAAAGTGCGAAATGAAGCGCCGATAGAACGAGGCCAGCCCATGAAAGCTACGAGCCTCAATGAATGTCGTCGGTGTTGGCCAATCCCGAACAGCTGCCACCTTGCTGTCATCCACCCGAATACCCTCAGCGGAAATAAGGAAGCCCAAGAAGAGGACTGACTCGACCATAAAGAAGCACTTATGCGGGGCGGCAAAGAACGACTCAGCCCGCAAGATCAACAACACGGCACGCACGTGCTCCAAATGTTCCTCCATGGACCGACTAAAGATAAGTATATCGTCGAAATAAACAACGACACACCGCCCAATAAGATCCCGCAATGTCTGGTTCATGATGCGCATAAACGTACTCGGCGCATTGGAGAGATCGAAGGGCATCACCATCCACTCAAAAAGCCCCTCGCGAATCTTGAAAGCAGTCTTCCATTCATCACCAGTACGAATCCGAATTTGGTGGTAGCCACTACGAAGATCCAACTTCGTGAACACGGTTGCCCCATGAAGTTGATCCAACAAGTCATCCAAGCGAGGAATGGGAAAGCGGTACCTGACTGTAATCTTGTTGATGGCCCGACTGTCCACACACATCCTCCAAGCTCCATCTTTCTTTGGTATCAACAATGCTGGAACTGCACAAGGACTGAGGCTGCGACGAACAACACCTTGTTGTAAGAGGTCCTCAACCTGCCGTCGAAGCTCCTCGTGTTCAACCGGACTCATCCGATAGTGCGGCCTGTTGGGAAGAGATGCCCCCGGGACCAAGTCAATATGATGCTGAATGTCCCGCAATGGAGGCAAACCCGCAGGAAGGTCCGTAGGAAAAACGTCAGCAAACTCAGCCAAAAGCGGTTGCATTACGGATGGGGGCTCATGATCACCCGACCTGTCCGCACCCATAAGCAAAAGAACAAAAGGTGCCGACCTCAGTTCCTTGCCAAAATCCGCCCTCGAAAGAAAAAGAACACTCGACGTACTAGCAGACGGTAAAGGGCGAGAGGGAGCAGGATGTAGCACAATCTTAGTACCACCGAAAGTGAAACTATAAGTATTAAGCCTGCAATCATGAACAGCTGCTCGATCGTACTGCCAAGGTACCCAACAAAACGTGGCAGGCGTCCATGGGCACCACGTCACACCATACCGTATCTCGATAGTTAGCGCCGGTGGACAAGGAAAGCAAGACCCGACGGTCAACCGTAACAGCGTTGCCCCGCTGGATCCACGCTAAAGTGTAAGGCTGGGGGTGAGGCTCCGTCGAAAGCCTCCATTTGTCAACGGCCTCCTTCGTAACCACGTTCTCACAAGAGCCCGAGTCAATGATAAAGCGACACACCTTGTCACCAACAGTGCATGTGGACTCGAAAATATGGTGTCGCTCCGTTGACTCATCCCCCGACACCCGGGGTGTCAAACACGAACGACGAAGAACAAGTGCCGTCCCTACATCCCCCATATGATGCTCCTCCTGCAATCCCGGCTCCATATCATACACTAGCGGGCCGTCATATTCCACGTGCTCCTCAAGCTCGCTGTGCTCATCAATGAATAATCCCCGAGAGCCCGAGCCACGAGGACAAGCCGACTGACGATGACCCACCTCACCGCAACCAAAACACCGCAAGCCTGGTCCCCCACTGGTCCCCCACGTTGGCCCGCAGATGCCGACGGGACCCCCGCACCTATTGCTCGCGGCTGCCCTCCATTTGGTCCCGGGACACGACCGACCGCCACCTGTCCGTCACCGCTACCTGCCGAAGGCCCCGGCCGACCGGACTGCCACGTACCACTACCACCCGGGCCCACACGCGTGGAGTTTGCAAACGAAGGTCCAGCCCTTCGGGCTAACTGCTGTTCGGCGAGTCGTGCCCGTTGGTGCGCATCTGAGACTGATTCCAGTCGAACAAAATTAAGCATGTCCTGAATGGCTACACGCAACCCTCCCACATAACGAGCAATTAACTGATTTTTTGTTTCCTTCAACTCCACACCGGTTAGAAGACGGTAGAAATCATCAGTGTAGTCGTCAACTGAACGCGACCCCTGCCGCAAGTTCTGAAGCTGTTGATAGATAATACTGTCATAGTTGAATGGCAAGAACTCACGCTCCACACACTCCTGAAATTTGACCCAGGAAGAAATTGGTGCTTTCCCTTGACGATGTCGCACGCTCGTAAGTTGCATCCACCATGCCACAGCACGCCCACGAAATCTCATGGCCACAAGATCAACACGCCGATCCTCGGGCACTTCTTTAAATCGAAGCACGGCCTCCACTGAAGCCCACCAATCCAAGAATTCATCACCTTGAACTCCACCGTGAAACTCGGGAATATCCACTCGAAAGTCGAACTCCCAACGCGACGCATCACCCCCTTCTAACGGACACATGCCCTCGCGCCGGTGCCGCCCAACCCCAGGCTGTCCACAGCCAACATCGTACTCCCGGGCCTGCCGAAAATCGCCCTCAGCCTCCGGACCGTACCTGTCACGCCGCCACGGGTCAGCCTCAGGTCGCTGCTCCTCCCGACGGAAATCGTCGTCCTGGTATCCCACGCGGCTGAGCCGTCCCTCCTCGTCCGACCCAGCCCCGTCACGCTCGAAGAACTCCTCCCCGAGGGGCCGCTCACGACCGTGTCTCCGCTCCTCCTCGCGACGGCGATAGTCGCCGCCCCGAAACCCTTGCTCCTCACGTCGGCCCCCACGACCACCCGCCTGCTGAAAGCCGCCGCCTCGACCCCGCTCACGGTAGCCATCGGCGAAGGGATTATCGGCTGTTGGGGTGTCGTCGGAGTCCTCCTCGCCGGGCGGTGGGAATGGTGGCTTCCAGCGGGGCGCCCCGCCTAAGCCTCGGCCGCCACGACCACCGCGAAACCCTCCGCGCGCGCCCCGGTCAGCCGCCACGCGGTTCGTACGTACCTCGTCCATCAACGTTCGCATTGCATCACGCAAGTCGTCGATCCCCGTTGAGATATCCGTAACCCTCTCGTCCACTCCATGGAACTGCTCCTCGATCCGTTGGAAGCGTTCATCGATGGCTTGATCAAGGCGTTTCTTTTCGGCGGCATCGCTGATCGTTGCTGGTCTGCTTATACCAACTGATGTAGAGCGTATGTATGATTGGGAAGAACACGAACAATTCTCAAGAGAAATCTCAAATATCAATAATCAAGTTTGTCTTCTAAAAGGGAGAAGACGATCCTTTAATACATCAGAAAATTCCTAATCTTAAAAGTTCAGTAAATAACCAAAAAGACCCAACACTAATAATAATAATAAAAAGAGCCCAATAATAAATAAAGACTACTAAATAGAAATGAATCAAACTAAATACGAAGACGATCATATTTATTTAAAAGCGCTATCGCGGTCTCGTCTCCATCAAATTGTTGGATCATCATGTAACTCGGGGATAGTTATATTTAACGGTTACAAACTCCGACGACTAAACAAGGTTATTTTGACCGACTATTGATACAGCCTATCATCGTCTCCCAGCGTTTGGGTTAAATATATTATCTGATGAACTATACTTACTGTTAGGGAAACATTTGCAATGAGTATGGAAAAATACATCACATATCCATCACAATTAAGTTGAACTAATATGATTGAACACTCGACCACTTTAATATAGCATTAATATTGGATATTAAATACACATAATAAAAATGAGTTAGAGATAATCAATTCTCTAATATGAGCAAACAAAACCCTAATTTTGGATGCATTAACTATAGTTGGTAAAAAAAAAAAAAAAGAACCGTAAATTCCTTTATTAAATTAGTTGAGCGGAGCTCATTTGATGAGTCAAACTCGATTCGAGACTAAATGTATAGATTTTTATAGAGTTCGATTTATACGGCACAACTCAATTTGTTAATTTTGAAATGCGAGTTGAGTTCGATAACATTTATCGACTTATTTTGTCGATATACGATTCAAAAGACTCAAATCCAAATCCGGAAATTAATAAGAGATTAAGTTCAACTCAACTCGTTTACCTCTTGTATAAGTTAGGAAGGGCATATTTCAAAACAAAATGGTCATAGGCTTGTATGAAATGAAAATTGAAAACTTTTATTTTCTTCTTTCTCAAATACACATATACACCCATACACAAGACAAAAATGATCTAACAATTATTAATTACTTGTATCATTAGAACAACATACAATACACATGTCGAACTTTAATTATCATTTGTCAATAAATAATCTTTAATGATCCTATTAAATGTTACTTATAGTCCATTTTAGTAAACAATCTTAACCATGATTAATATTTTATTTTATTTTTTTTTTTTTGCCAAAAAACAATGATTAATTGTTACTAAAGGCCAAAAATGTCAAAAACACTAACCACAGACAGCATTTGTGGACCAGTCATCACCTTCTCCATCAACTTCAGTCAAAGCCCGAAAAAAAAAAAAAAAAAAAATCCAAAACAGTAGACTGAATGAATTTCCCCCTTTCACTAACCTAATCGTTCGCCGCCGTACTCCGCCGCTCGACAATGGATCGCTGCCGCTTTCAGCTGACCAAACCCCTATTTATATTTCTAGCGTTTCTCTGCGGATTACCACATCCCTCCCTCTCCGAAGATGACGTCAGGTGCCTGCGGGAGCTGAAGAGCTCGCTGACCGACCCCAATGAAAAGCTCAGCACCTGGGATTTCTCAAACACCACGCGGGGATTCATCTGCAGATTCTCCGGCGTCACCTGCTGGAACGAGCAGGAAAACCGTCTCATAGGGCTGGAGCTCGCGGATTTCGGGCTCACCGGCTCAATCCCCGACTCGTTTCGCTTCTGCAACAGCATTCAAACCTTAACCCTCTCTGGAAACTCTCTATCCGGTTCGATCCCCCGTCAGTTCTGCAGCTGGATGTCGTATTTGACCACGCTCGATTTGTCACGAAATAGTCTCTCCGGTGAGATACCGGAGGGCCTTGCCGACTGCTCGTACCTGAATAACTTGCTCTTGAATGATAACAGCCTGTCGGGCGTTATTCCTTACCGGTTGTCGAGTTTGGGGAGGTTGAAGAAATTCTCTGTTGCGAATAATGATTTGTCCGGCAGGGTGCCTTCGTTTAACTACGATCTGGAGCTCGATTATGGTGGTAACGACGGGCTTTGTGGCGGCCCATTGGGAAAATGCGGTGGCCTGAGTAGGAAAAGTCTGGTTATTATCATTGCCGCCGGTGTTCTTGGTGCTGTAGTTTCTCTGTTGCTAGGGTTATGTTTGTGGTGGTTGTACTTTTCGAAATCGAACAAGAGGAGCAAGAAAGGTTATGGGGTCGGGAGAAAGGATGATTTGAGCAGTTGGGTGGAGATACTGAGAGCCCACAGGCTTACGCAAGTGATTCTGTTTCAAAAGCCACTTGTGAAGGTCAAATTGTCGGATTTATTGCTTGCCACGAATAATTTCAGCTCTGAGAACGTTATAGTCTCGAGCCGAACAGGAACGACTTACAAAGCTATCCTCCCAGACGGATCGGCCCTCGCGATCAAACGGCTTAGTGAGGGAAAAATGGGTGAAAAGCAGTTTAGAATGGAGATGAATAGGTTGGGCCAGTTAAGGCACCCGAATTTAGTGCCATTGCTGGGTTTTTGCTTGGTGGAGGATGAAAAGCTTTTGGTTTATAAGTATTTATCGAATGGAACTTTGGGCTCGATGCTGTGTGGAGATAATGCTGGCTTACTCGATTGGCCGACTCGGTTTAGGATTGCACTCGGGTCTGCAAGAGGGCTCGCGTGGCTCCACCATGGCACTCGGCCTCCAATCTTGCATCAGAACATTTGCTCGAATGTGATCATGCTCGATGAGGATTTTGATGCGAGGATAATGGATTTTGGCCTGGCGAGTCTTTTGACCTTTTCGGGCTCGAACGAAACTAGTTTCGTGTATGGAGATTTAGGTGAAATTGGGTATGTTGCTCCCGAGTATTCGAGCACGATGGTAGCCTCGTCAAAAGGGGATGTTTATGGTTTAGGTGTGATTCTGCTCGAGCTGGCGACTGGGTTGAAGTCGCTCGATGTTAGTGACGTTGATGAGGGGTATAAGGGTAATTTAGTCGAGTGGGTTAACGGGCTTGCTAGTTGTGGACGGGTTAAGGATGCTATTGATCAGTGTTTGCGTGGGAAGGGACATGATGAGGAGATTGTGAGTTTTTTGAGGATAGCGTGTAATTGTGTGGTTCAGCAGCCGAAGAGTAGATGGAGTATGTATCAATTGTACGAGTCGTTGAGGGAAATGGCTGAGGAGCGCGGTTTTTCGGAGACTTATGATGATTTCCCTTTGTTGGTTGAAAAACAAGATTTGGCAAGTCCTGTTTGAGATGTGGTAAGTAAATAACAAGCAGATTTGTGTGTGTGTACATCGTCGTGTTTAAAATAATTGGAAAATTAGTCTACTAATGTCATTCGACCGTGTCGTAAAATGTGTTCGAGACATTCTTATCGTTACGAAAAATTCGGTGCAATGAAATGCTGTTGTGTATGAGTTCATAAGCAATGTGTATTGTTTTACAGATGCTACTTCTAAACTAACTGTTTGATTGATGAACTGAGTTTGCATCTTAAGAAAAAAAAATGCTGATTCTGTGATTTGTTTGGTGTTGAAAATCTATGTAAACATGGTTAGATGGTTATATAGTCTGATGTTGTGTATGCAAATATTGACTGATAACTGATTGGTAATTTGATATGTAACTTTTATTTTTCTTCCTATAAAGATTTTAAGTCATCCCTAGATAGTAGTATTCAGTCTACTATAGTAATTACTTGAATGGAAATTCCCATAGATAGTTAGACTAATTAAGTCACTTAAGATAAGCAGGCGCGTGTTAATTTACTAATCAACAGATCTAATGCCTGTTTAATAGAGTATTGGACTTTTTATTAAGAGCATGGTGTTTTAATTTTGACCTGTTAAGTGAAGACCGAAAAGCCTTCATGTTCATATTTTTTTTTTATGGTACTTGGATACTTTGATTTGAATTGCCCAGATTTGGAATGAAGTAAATGAAAGAAAAGGAAAATCTGGGGTTGTCTCCATTGTTTCTAAACTGGACCAACCCGTGTCGACCCGTGACCAGGCTGACCCGCGGTCTGGGTAGGCTATTTAGACCGGGTAACAATGAACCCCGGTCAAACCCAGTCACAACCCGGCCTTGACGCGGGTCAACCCGGTTGACCCGATCCTTATATATTTTTATTTTTTTAAAAATATTTTTTTATATAAAAAATAAAAACTATGTAAATATATTGATATAGTAAATATTTATTGTGAGATATTATTCTTTTAACATTTTGATGTACAAATTTTATATACAAAACATTTATTTTTGTTGTTTTTATGTATATTTATGTGTCAAAAATACTATATATATATAATTTTAAAAATTTTAAAATTTAATTATCCAATTCATCAATTGACCTGATGACTTGACGGTTGAACCGGTGACCGGAGACTTGCCCGGGTCGATTTCTCGGTCGGGTTTGGTCTCTAGACTCTACCAACTCATTGGCGCCTCTTTAATCTCAAATTTCAAGTTTAACGTCGTAATTAGCGATCCTTTTAAGAAGGGTTAAACTGAAGAGAAAGTATACTATTAAGTGCAATTTGATAAAGCATATAAATATAAATAACGTCTAAAAAATATAAAATTATTAAACTAAATTTTGGAAAGAAGAGCCCGTTTAGCTCGTGCATCTTCAAAGCAAAAGGGGAGGAAAGGCGGACAATGCCGCTTTACTGCACGAACACGCTAACAGAAAATGTCTACAGTGTGTTTACCAAATTATCTGAACACCTCTTGAACATCTATCAAACACAAATTCACTTAAATCTAGAATTTATAATTGTAAACGAGTCATGTCGAACTTTTAATATTCATGCTTGGGTTCGAGCCGAGCCAAGCCAAAGATACTCGAGCTCGAGATATAGCATTTGTCGAGCTGGGTTTGAGCCGATGAACAAGCTTGAGTTTGGCTCGTTCGTTAATAATACCGAGTTGAATTAAGGTAAAATTTCATAAAACTACCTACCACTCCTATTCTCGAACATTAACGAGCCTAACCGAACTCACGAGCAACTCATTTCGTTTACCAGTTCTACTTGAAACACAAACGAGTCATACCTGCCTAGCTGTTATGGCACCTCACATAGAATTTGTGTTAAAAGGATATATATTAAACACAAATTCACAAAACAATAAATGCATCATCAACACAAAGATGTATATTAAGCAAACATATAAATTCTTCCAACCTAAAGCATCTTTTAAATTTCTCTATACATGCAAAGCAATTCTTGTGATCATCTCTTTGCTTTGAGCTCAAATGGAAAATCAACGTCCAAAAACAATGGGAAAAAAAAAAAAAAA